TTTTATCTCTACATATCTAAGGCATGGGATGCAGGGGGAAAAAGCAGGGTGTTAGAAAAGATGCCAACCATAGGTGATGCTTCTATTAATAAAATGTTCATATGTTAGTCAGATATGGCCAAGTAGATGAGGTTTCCAAATTGTTAGTGGGTTTGCAAAGTTGGCGGCCCTTCACAGATTTCATGGGGGTGCTTGGGGCTTTTGTGCCAGGAAAAAGGAAGTTGTCTGTTCTTAAAGCTGCATTTCCTCGCTTTATACACCCAGGAGTGAGGCTCACAGGAATGCCACTGACCTGCTGCTGCCCCAGGGATGTGACTTCACTAAACAGTGTTATGTGCCCTTTATTCTTAGAACGTGCTTTTTCTAAGCTCAGAGAAGATTTCACAGACTCCACCTCATGACTCTATACAGCCCCTCTAAAATCATGGGAGGAATAGTGTCTGTACAGCTCCTTGAATGATTTGAGACGCAGATAACAGAATGGGAGGAACTAGATAAACTTGCAATCCATTTTGTAACAGGTTAACCGATGAACAAAATTTGATTTTTATACAAACATGAAAACAGCTAATTATAAATTTTGCTTGTTGTAATGATATTGATAAAGAAATTTATTTTCTCCTTACTCTTAAAAAAGAGCCATTCTGACATGGTATATCCATATTTAAACCCTGTAAGGGCAAACACCCATTTGAAACAGAAGTATTAGAGCTAGATTATATGAAGGAAATTATACTCAGGAACGTTATCATAGCAGCATTTCTGTGAGCAGGATTACTCATAAAAAGAATGAACATGTTTTATGAATATAATATTTGAAGTAATTTTTAAAAATCTGGCTATGAACCATAAGGTTAATTCTTTTCTTCTTGCTCTTTTGTGGTTAGCATACTCCTTCTTCTTTTTAAAGACTCATTTTGTTATGCAAATGAAAAAAATTATTAGACTTTGTGTCTAAGAGAGAGGGCTGCTTTCAGCAGGGGAGCCAGGCCCCCTTCTCAGCACTCAGCCCCCACTGGCTGCCAAGCTAGAGACTTGGTGATCTGGGTTAGTGGGTGTGGGGTCCTTGAATGTTGACTCACATTCTCTTTGTGACTTGCTCTTGCTTTGCCTGATAATGTCTCCCTTTCCAGCTCTCAGCATGCCAGCAGCAGCTGCATCATGGCACTCACCCTGCTGCCAAGAGGGCAGGCAGGCTCCGTGGAGACTGTAACAGTGCACTCCAGCCAACTGTTGGAGGTCGGTGCCGGGCAGTGCATGCAGCACAGCTGAGAGCCAGGCCCTTCCAGGAGGCTCCGGAGGCAGCACTTTGTCCATGGAATTGTTCAAGTTTAATTTTTGGAAACTTTTTGATGGAAGGTTTTCAAACATAAAGGCAGAAAAGAATAAGACAGTATCTCCCCATATGCCTTCCTTTTCTACGTTTCAACAACGACCAGTCATAGACTGTTTTGTTTCACTGTCCATTGTGTTACCCTCCCAGAAAACTGGTAGATTCATTTCCAGGGATAAAGCTCTATTAAATTACAGTTGCTTTTCTATCCTTCAGTCTAAGATCTGTCATCTTAATGAGTTTGTTCTTTCTTCCAAAAGGTAAAATATATTAGAGTCTTTTTTCCCCTTCTCATTTAAGCCAAGATATGCTCCGTAAGAATGGTTATATTCTCTAATGTTGTTCCCTAAAGTCTCAAGGCTTTGTTCATTCAGTAGGCCAACCTTTCCAGAACATAGATATGCAGGTAACATGTTTAGAGCATTATAGGTCACTGGGTTTGATTCTCATTCTTACCATAGACAAACTGTGTAACCTGGAACAACTTCCTTAACCTTTCTGTGCCCTAGTGTCCTCTTGTTTTTAACATGGGATTAATAGTGCACACTCCAAAAAGCTATAAAACTGAAATGAGCATTTGAACAGCCTAGATGGATCCCCGCACAAAGTAAGTGTTCAATATATGCCAGTGGCTGTCATCAACATGTTTTGTCCTTCACCACTCACTTTACAGAATAGACTGAGGTGAAGTAACCCCCTCTGGTTATACGGCTTTTTTATCAAGGAGAACTGGAACAGGAAACCACATCTCAATCCCCCTATTCTAGATACTGGAGGCCTAGGCCTCCAGTATCTAGAATAGGGGGATTGAGATGTGGTTTCCTGTTGGGTCCCTCAGCTTGGCATGCACCCTTGCAATCTGGGATCCCCTTGAGGGATGTCGGAGAGCTGATTTCGACCTGATCCCCACAGGCCAGGCCAAGGGACCCTATCGATTCGTGCACCAGGCCTCTAGTATGCATATAAGATCTTTGGTTAATCTGCTTCCCCCTTCCCTCTGAGATTCATCAGTCTGTTCCATGTTTCCATGCCTATAGTTTCTGCTACTGCATTGAGTGTCTGACCCCATCAATGCATGTCATAGCTACCGGCCGGTCATCAGGTCAGCTATTTGCTTAGGCATTACTAGAGGCCTGGTGCATGAAATTCATGCATGGGAGGTGTGTGTCCCTCAGCCCAGCCTGCACCCTCTCCAATCTGGAACTCCTTGAGGGATGTCTGACCATTTAGGCTGAATCCCACCGGGCAGTGCGACATACCTCACAATCCAGGACTGCTGGTTCCCAACAGCTTGCCTGCCTGCCTGCCTGATTGCCCCTAACTGCTTCTGGCTGCCAGCCTGATCACCTCCTAACCACTCCCCTGCCAGCTGATCGATGCCTAATTGATCCCCTGCCGGCCTGATTGCCCCTAACTGCCCTCCCCTGCAGGCTTGATTGACCACAACTGTCCTCCCCTGCTGGCCATCTTGTGTCTTGGAGTGAACCACTGAGCCATTCGGGCTGGACCTGACCATACTCTTTTAAAAAGCACCAAGAGGACTATCTCTACCAGATCTTTCCCGCCCCCTCCCCCATTCCAACTTGCATTATAGCCCCTGCCTATTAGCAGTTACACTTGGATGTCTGATACGACCTGGAATGACCAAAACAGAACTCTTGGTCTTCCTGGTGAGGCCAAAAACTCTGACTCCACTCTGCTCTCATATCCCACATCCTTTTCACCCGTAAACCCTGTTGGCCTTATCCTCAAAGTCTATCCAAAATCCAATGTTCAAATCGCCTTGATTTTCACAACCCTAATCCACACTGCAGTCTCTTAGCCAGCTGCTGCTTCCTGGCCGCCAGACCCCACTACCTCCTGTCAATAAGGCAACCAAAGTGATCCTTTTAAGTCATCAGTCTGAATGTATCTCTTTTGTGATGATAACTTCTTTTTATCCCATGCAACAACATGGATGAATCTCCTATATAAAAGTCAGAAACAAGAGTTTATACTATAAGATTTCCTTCATTTAAATATAAAAATAGGTAAACCAATCTATACTGTTAGAAGACAGGGTAGTGACAGAAAGCACTATGAGGGCTGCTGGGGGGGCTTGTCATTTCTGTCCCTTGATCCGGGTGCTGTAAACTTCTAATGTACCCTTTCTGTATGTACTTTACACCTGCATAAACATTTTTCAAAATTATTTCATAAACAGAAAATCATTCTTCTCTAGACTTAGAGATAAGGAATTTATCAGTATTTTAACCATCATAATGTAAACCCCATGCAGGCAAACTCTTGTCTGCTTGCATCCAACCAATAAATATTTACTGAGCACCAGGCACTCACCTGGGCATTTTGGGACACAGCAGGGAACACGAGAGACAAAAGCCCCTAAATTCCCGAGGATTATAATGCGGATGAAGTATATAACAGAACAAGGTGCTAAGGGCTGTTAGAGTGAAAGAGCAGGGGAGAGAGATAGGGAGAGAAAGGAGTGCAGGAGAGGAAGAGGAGAGGGGGCAGGACACAGTTTGAATCAGATGGGTAGGAGAGCCTTATTGAGAAGGTGGCATTTGGACCAATACTTGGAAGGACCTGAGAGAAGGGGCCCAATGTATATTTGGCGGCAGAACCTCCTGGGTAGCGGGACTGGAACGCACAGGCCTGAGGCAGAAGCAGGCGGGGCACACAGGAGCAACAGCAAGGAGGCAGTGAGGCGCTGGGGGCCAGGTCGCCAGGGCCTCCTGGGCCTCAGTAAAGACTCCAGGGTTTTATTTGTGTGAGACCAGGTGGTGGTGGGAGAGTAAATTTTTTGCCTAAACTGGTTTTATTTCGGTTTCAGCCACTTTTAGTGGCAGGTGTTTTATTCTCATTGCTGTAAGTATACTTCAATTTATCCAGTGTACTATCGATGGACACTTAGTTTCCACTTTGGACACCCTACTGCACATCTTTTGGTAAACTACTGTATGCGTGGTTTACCAGTTCTCTGTATCTGCATAACTTACGTAACATGTTAGTTCCTATGAAAGTCAGACAATCAGTCAATAAGCATGACACACATCAGAAGTAAACTCTCATGTAGGTATTAGGATAAGATAATCGAGTATGCAAGGCAGAGAATACAAAGACACGTCAACTAGATTGTTGCCCTCAAGGACCCTCGAATCTAATTGGGGATAAGACATATGCATGTGAAACAGCAACTGGCAAGGACACATATATAGGAAATGCGAAATAATATCCTAGGCCAGTGGTTGGCAAACGGTGGCTCGTGAGCCGCAGTTTGCCGACCACTGTCCTAGGCAGTTTGCTCCATAATCATTCTTAAGTGGGCGAGGTCATTTTGGACTGTGTAGCTATAAGGTTTCACAGGGAATCTGGAAATTCTGAAGAGCCTGAAAGAATACACTGGGTTTGGCAAAGCAAACAGACTTTGTAGACATTACTGGGCTAGAGAAATAACACGAGGGGGTCATAGGTGGTAAGAGTAGGGTATAGGATTCATTTTAAAGCCTGGTAGAGTTCTATGTACAAGTAAAGCAAATAAGCTAGCTACATTGTGATTTGGGAATACTTACATATTCCCCCATTTCTCTACCATTTTGCCACATTTACCATTACTGAACCTCGAAGGCCATAGCTCTAAATGATTTGAATATATGTGTATTTTTAGACTGGCCAAGAAAACTCACCCACTGGGACTGTAGCCGGCCCCGGGGCGGAAACTAAGGCAGGCCAGCTTCTGGAGAGCAGCTCGTTCATGGCAGAACTTCTGAGCGACGTGCCCTTCACCTTGGCCCCGCATGTGCTGGCTGTGCAGGGCACCATCAGTGACCTTCCTGACCACCTGCTCACCTGTGATGTCAGCGAAAACTTATCACGGTTTTGGTACGATTTTACTCTTGAAAATTCAGTGCTCTGTGATTCGTAAGTTTTTATATTTGTACCGTAACAGCTTTAAAACAAAAGTTTGCCACTGTATTTAACCTGTTTGATGTTCTTTGCCGTTTCACTGTCTAAAAGCCCTCAGGATCATAAAAGCAAGGATCATAAAGTAAAGAACAGTATGTGCAATGCTCGGTCTTTTAGAATAAAGTACATTTGTATAAAAATTGAGCTTAAGTACTACTTCCTTTCTGCCAAATAATAAATATAAAAATTAGGTAATCATAGTTTTAGGAAAGGAATAGGTTCCTTCAAACAGGCTCTCAAAATACAACACCTCAAGTTGATCTTAGCAGAACTGTGAAAAAGAGTGATGGCATTTTCCTTGGTTACCACAAGTCTGAAATCTGCCCTGAGAGGGAGTGAGAATTCTCTTCTCTGGTTTAGAGGAAGCTTGAGTTAATATTATTCTTTTTTTTTTTCTCCCACAGTGTATATGAATGAGTTCAGAAAAAAAATTTTTTTTGTGCCAATTAGCTTAATTTCTTCATTCTTGATATAGACACCGATGTGGAAATAGAAAACTTTTCCAAAAAGCAGGGGGATTTTGCTGATATAAGAGTGCCCTGGCTGCTATTTCCCTGAGCAATACATTGTTTCCTTATGCCCATGGCAGTTCTGTGCACCTGGAGTGCTCCCCGTGTTTCTGCGGAGTGTGCTCCCTCACCAGCTTCCCCGAGAACTCTCCCTGCTTCTGCTTCAGAAGGCATCCGTGCTCCTGACCACATAGGGTTCAGGAAGAGATCCACATTTCCTTTCAACCTCTCTGCTCCCAAAGAAAAGCATCTCATGATGATATATATTATCGCTAACACCCTTGGTTAGCAATTTGTTGGCCATAATATGAACGGAAATGCTTTACTGCTAGAAAAACTGAAATCAACTCATTTCCAATTAGAGTATAGGCAAAACACCTAGATGTCACTTTTAGCTATTGAATATCCATTATTTATTCCAACTAAAACAGAAAAGAACTGCCATTGGTCAATAAACTGCAAAGGAAGAGGTAAACTGTGACAGAGTGTTTTCTGTGCCATGTAAAATTTTAATCACATTAGTTCTGAAAGAGTACAATATAATTTATTAATTCTGTGCCAAATTTTTAGAATATTTTTCACAAAGATAGAGTGCTATAGCAAAACTGAACACTGTGCATAAAGGTATATAAATTATTCAGATTTTAATGTGTTGTGCATGTATAATAAATGTGGCATGTTCTTGATAAAAATACTGTTATTTACAAGATAAAGGAACATTTCTATTGAAAAAAATGTGTCATTTACAAATAATGTTACCATATGAGTTAAATGGTTAAATTAGTTCTTGACATAGTTTTCTTAAAAAGAAATATTACTAACACAGATATGAACATTTTATAGTTTTTGTGAAAGCCCATCCTTTTAAATATCCATGTTAATATTATCTTAAAGCTAAATGTAAGGATGTCATCAATTTACTAATATATAAATTAAATTTTGTCTCAAATACTTATACATTTTATTTATATTTATGTCTATCGTGTTATAAATATGCTTATACATATTTTCACTTGTTAAAAATGTTATATTTGAACAAGTATGAATAAAAATAAACTGATATTTTTATTAATTTCAGATCCAAAACTGATTTTCTTTGCATTATTCATGTCTGAAAGTCATTGATTGTTTAGGAGACAAATATTTAAGTAAATAGTATGTATATGGTAGAGAAAAATATGAAGTTTCTTCTTACATGTAAGTCGTAAGGAATAACATTGAAAATGGTACGATCACTCACTAATTCTGGCAGGACTGAGGGATTTGGGAGAAATCACATGAACATCTCCAGATAGATTCCATCACAAGATTTAATAAGCTCAGTGTTAATAACGGATTATTAACAAACATGTGGAAATGGCCATTTTAATGTTCTCACCCTGTATACAAATCATGTTCCTATTTTAAAACTAGAAGAAAACAGAAGTCATCCAGCCAACTCTATCTAACCCAAGAGAAAGTTGAAGCCTAGAAAGGTTAAAAATGACTTAAGTCAACTCATTACTGATACACATTTACTTGAAGAGTATTAATAAAGGTAGTATAATTGTAAGAGCTATATGCTGTAGTGGGGAAGGGCTCAGGCATTTGAGGCAGGCAGGTTGTAGTGGCTCCCTCGCTTACAAGCTGTGGGCCTTTGAGTCAGTCCCCTAATTTCTGGTGTCCTGGGTTCCCTTGCCTGTTAAATAGTAATTGTATGCACCTTGCGGGGTTGGGCTTTTAGATGGTGCATGTCAAAGGCCAGGCAGTGCAAAGCTATACACATTGTCAGTGTTCAAAGAAAGGAAACTGTTATAATTCTCATTACTAATCACACATATACCAAGGTCTAATGAAATGTACAATATGAATTAACTGAACTTTTTAAAGAGTAATATAAAAAATAGCTACCTACATTTACTGTATATCCCCCCTCCCATTATTATTTTCCATATTAAGCACTATCTCATGAAAAATATTCCTAAAATACTTTAGTTGACTCTTCTGCAGTTCTTCGCTAAGAGTTCCATAGGGAACACTTTTTTTTCTCCTATTATCAAGCAGTATGGATTTTACTCCCTCTCCCCCCTTAACAAATGATCATTATAAAGTACTGTACATATGAAATGTACAAGTGATTTTACCAAATCCTATTTTTATCCCTAAAATATATGCAGGAAGTTGCATGTATTTTCCCTCCAGCTTTTTTAAAAATGGCATTTGCATCCTTTCCTGAAAACACAATTCGAGAGGCAATTCTGACAATTTATTATTGTAGCTAAATTGTTATTAACTCAACTTTTAAAATTATAACATTAAATATTAATATAAACATATTTATTGTTAACAAGGAACCCACTCACTATTAAAAATATTCATTGACCAACACTTTCTTCACCTTTCTCAAAGTAAAATGATAAATTGAAAACAGTATGAAAAAAATATCTAAAATAATGAGAAACCTAGTTTTTCATAATTATAAGGGAAAAATAGGGAGAAGAAATAATCTCATCCTTATTCTAAACAGTGGCCCATCCGCCCTTATCCCTTTACCTCTCCTGACAACAATTGATCGGTAAATGAGTATTGCCCTCTGTAATCTAGCAAAGAATGTGCTACCTTCGAAGATTAATGCATTGTCCTATTAATCATGCTATCAGTAACATTCACAAGAAATTTTAGTGTATTGGATAGATGGCTGAAGGATTAATATCTTTTAGAGCTATTGAAAAATACGGGCTTGTGGACATTATCTTTTGAGCACTGTGTCATATTACTAAGGCCATGACCTAAATATTATTGGGCAATCTAAAACTCTCGGGATTGGTCTGACTCCATTCATATACAGGGTCCTGAAAGGTAAAGTATTCCTATGCGTCAGGAAAATGACTCTTGATGCCACATGGTTTGGTGGATAGGTGTGGGTGAACAAGAAAGATATATTGATTGAAGCATAGGATCTGTTAAATTTGATATCTCAGTGTTAATCTTTTAATTTAAATAAAATAGTAATTTTAGAATAATTTTATATTATAGAAAAATTATAAAAATAGTGAAACATTCTTAAGTACCTCTCATCTAGTTTCTCCTATTTGCTACAACTACTAAGGAACCAACACTGGGACATTACTATTAACTAAAATCCACCCTCCACTCCAATTTCACACTTTTCTCCTAATGTCCTTTTTTTCTTCCAGCATCCTATCTGGTTTAATACATTATACTTAGTCATTCTTAGGTTCCTTTTGGCTTTACAATCTCAGACTTTTATTTATGTATTATTTTTAGTGACTGACAGTTCATGGAGTCTTGTCCGATTTTGTAGGATGCCCCTCAACTCTGATTTATTTAATGTTTTTCACATGGTTAGACTATGGTTATGCATTTGGGGCAAATATTACAAAGGTGAACTGCTCTTCAATGAGATCGTATCATATCAAAGGTACATGCTGTCAACATGACCTCATTGTTGATGCTAACTGTATCAAGTGGCCAAGGTAGTGTTTGCCAGGTCTCTCCACTGTCATGTAACTCTGTCCCTCCCCTTTTCAATACACTACTCTGTTATTCAATTGAAAAGCATAGCCCACAGTCAAGGGATAGGGAATTACACTCCTCATCCTTGAGGGGTTAGTAGACATATATAAATTATTTGAAGTTTTTTCTGTATGAGATATGTCTCTTTTCTCCAATTTAATTATTCATTTATTTATTTTGGGATTCTAAATCTAAAGCATATCTCTTGGTGGCCAAGAAATATGTTTACATTATTAGAAAGTTAACAAAGGAAATTTGGAATGATTTACATGGTGCAGATGAATACCATTTGATGTTGGATATGATAATATATTCTATGATTTCCTCATAATTAATTTTCCTATAAATATCAGGTACATTTCTTTATAACTTGTCATGACTATAACTGTATTCAAAATAGACCTTCCCTTTGAGGCCACAAGTGTTGCCCTACAAGTGAAGCCCTCTTAGATACTTGGCCATTTCCTACCTTATTCCCACAACGATTGCATTTTACCCATAATGCTATTCTTCAAGTGGTGAAGAGGCAAGGTTCTAATATAATCATTTTCTTCTTTAAAGAACCAAGATTACTCATGATACACAGAGCTTTTCTCTACAGATGACTTTCTTTAGTGATAGCAAAAACCAAGCTGCAGCTCCTTAAGATTCTAAGAGGAGAAATGGTTCGTTTTTTCCTTTAAGAAGTAGTTTTAAGAAGCAGCATGAGGAAACTAAGTTTTCTTTCAGAGGGCAGAAGTGCCCCCAAGGAGCTCTTTGTACTTTTGATTAACCAAAACTCAACTGTGTGCTAAACCAAACTTGATGTCATCCAATTTCATCACTGGAGGCCGGGGAAACAATCAAAGTAAATAGTGTTTTACTTTATCCTTGGAAGAAGCCTGAATATAGTTCTTTGTTGAGAATTTCCCCAGTCCAATTTTCACTCCTACAA